ACCACAGCCTTATCATCATCATTGCCATTGTTCCCCCCTCCTCTCCCCTCTCTTCTCCTGTCTCAAGGCGAACCGAAGCTTCTCGCAAATTCGGATGTTCTTGGCTTTCTCCTTCCCCCCTTATGTTTCTCTTTCTGATGATGTCCCTCAAAACATCCCCAAGAATTACGTGTCCCCCCACCCAGCATTATGTGGTCAGGAGTACTACACCAAGCCCCAAGCGCCAAGCCCCAAGCCCCAAGCCCCAAGCCCCAAGCCTCAAGCCCGAAGCCCTAAGCCCCAAGCCTTAAGCCCCAAGCACTCTCCAGTAACTTATGGAAATTCACAGGAATGCTTGAAAAAGTTACTGAAGTTACTGGAGTGCGTGAAGAAAGTTACTATTAAATTCAGGGGGAAGAACTACCTCTGGTTGGATTACAACAACAACAATAAAATCTGGGCTGGCAAAGTTGCCCCTTGTTTGTTTAATTGAAAAGAAAAGGCAAAGCAGACTCAAATTTAGCGGCCAGAACTGACGTGTCATTATTCTGTCCCGAATTCTTCTTCGGCGCTAACTTGACCCTGACCGTACTCACTTTCCATCTGGCTGTGGATGGCTTTTCAGACTGTGCAGAGACGCCTACTTGCAGAAGAGACAGCCGCTAAGTCTGACAAATCGCCCGTGACCGTTGCAGACTATGGTCAGTCTTTGCTTCGGCATTCCCAGGGGAATTATTCCCCTTCTCCATCTCTATCTCCATTTCCTCCACGTGATCGCCATCTTCATCTTCATCTCCAAACCTCTCTCTCTCTCTCTCTCTCTCTCTCTCTCTCTCTCTCTCTCTCTCTCTCTCTCCACCATCTGCTGTTGTTAAAGTCATTTCTCCTCCCTCCCCCCCCCCCCCCCCCCCCCCCCCCCCCCCTTTTTTTTTTTTTCCCGCCTTTTTGGGCTGTTCCCCTCTTTGTTATTTAAACCAAAGGGCCCCAATTTCCCAATTTTTTTTTTTTGTTTTTTTTTTTCAGTGGCCTGTTTGCGTATTTGGTGTTTGAGTTACCTGTTTATTTCGACATGGGACGCTGGGCCCGGTTCCTAGCACGTGCCGCTCCCTAGGAAACTGGGAATAGACTGGAGCATTTGTCCCAAAACAAAAAAAAAAAAAAGAAAAAGAAAAAAAAAAGAGTTACCTGTTTGTTTTCAGTTTGCTTAATAGTCACGGCCTCGGTAGGACATTAAATTCACTGGAAATTTGGACCCCGATAAAACATGAAATCAGTTTGACATTTTGGGCATGGGTAAATCATTTAGATTACCGGAAATTTCGAGGCCTCTTAATCAGATAAATTTGATTGAAGCTTTCAATCAGAACCTCTTGGCCGTTGTACTCCTGCTTGTGTCGTACATGTGTTATTAATAATCAACGAAAGGTTATGTTAGTTATAAATACGATTTAAGTATATGAATTACCAAGCCTGATTTCAACAATGCTACAAACAATAAATGAATAGTTATTAATTTCAAATAATAAGTACTTACTTATGAATCCACCAGCTGTTCTCACAGTGTCTGTAGTTCTGTCTGATGGATGGATGCTACATAACGTATATGGATGCTTAGTTCTTTTTTTTTTTTTTTTTAACATCCCTTTTAGGTTCCTAGCAGTGCTGATACGAGCACACACTGCTAGCACCCTGAGGGAGACTCAGCATCTGTTGGTGGGGAGTGTCACGTTAGTTAGCAGTTCGGATGCGCTAAGTTTGGATGCTGAGTGTGGATGCAGCTAAATGTGGATGCGCTAAGTCTAAATGGTAAGTGTGGATGCTAAGTGCGTGGATGCACTCATGCTAAGTATGGATGCGCTAAGTGTGGATGCTAAGTGCGTGGATGCACTCATGCTAAGTATGGATGCGCTAAGTGTGGATGCTAAATGCGGATGCTAAATGTGGATGCTCTAAGTGTGGATGCTCTAAGTGGGGATGCTAAGTGGGGATGCACTAAGTGTGGATGCTAAGTGGGGATGCACTAAGTGTGGATGCTAAGTATGGACGCGAAGTAAGCAAATTCCACTCTGTCGATGCGCTAAGTGTGGATGCTAAATGTGGATGCGCTAAGTGTGGATGCGCTAAGTGTGGATGCTAAATGTGGATGCGCTAAGTGTGGATGCTAAGTGGGGAGGCACTACGTGTGGATGCTAAGTGGGGGTGCACTAAGCGTGGATGCGAAGTGTGGATGCTAAGTGTGGTTTCCATCTATCATCACAGGTTCCCAAGCTTTGGTCAGTTGGGCACTGCAGACTGCGCTTCCTCCGGGGGAGACATTGTCGCTTGTAGCGGAGGAGGTACGAATGCTTGTACACCACCTTATTAGGGAGAAGAGGGATGAAGAAAGGGGGAGATTGAGATGAATAATTGAGCCAGAACTTACCCAGTAACACTGGCTTGTGCTTCAGTCAAAGTGGCTTGTGCTAAAGTAACCCTGGTTTGTGCTAAAGTAACCCTACAGTAGTTTTGTGCTAAAGTAACCCTACAGTAGTTTGTGCTAAAGTAACCCTACAGTAGTTTGTGCCAAAGTAACCCTGGTTTGTGCTGAAGTATCCCTGGTTTGTGCTAAAGTATCCCTGGTTTGTGCTAAAGTATCCCTGGTTTGTGCTAAAGTAACCTTACCCTGGTTTTGAGTACTGAAACTAACCAGAGTTTGTATGGAATGGTCTCGTTTTCTCTGTCTTCAATTGTGGTGGGTGACCGTCTGTTTTTACTGCAGATATAAAAGTACAAGAGACAAAGTAGATGGAATAGAAAAGAACATGTCCTGCACATGCCTGGTCATTATCATGCATGCATGCAGAGCTTGGGATTGTCCAGAGAGAAGTGAACACGTTTTCTTTTCTCCAACGCTTGCTTCTGGCATGCCTTGAGCTCTTTTTTCCTGTCCAGTGACCCTCTTGCGATTTCCCTCCTCCCCTTGCAACTGATCTTTTTTTTTTTTTTTTTTTTTTTTCGGGGCAACTGATTATCATTTGTGTGACGGCAACTGATCATCATTTGTGTGACAGGACTCCGAGGATCTCCGAACGGAAAGTGGTGCCGCGATGTTGCAAAGAATAACGCAGCTGGTAAATGAGGCGATCAAAGCAGAAGATGGTGCTCAACCTGCACCTGGCCCCTTGACTCCTGAAGATGTCGCCACGGCCATTGATCGGGGCCTATCAAATGGTGGACCATTGGGGAGGCATTGGGTCCTCGATCCAATAGATGGGACCAAAGGGTATGTTTTTCTCTTTTTGAGAACGTCTTTCTTTTTTTCTTTTCTTTTTTTCCCCTTCGTATATGTTCCATGACATGGCAGAACGACAATTTTATATATAGGAGTTATAAGGAAGAAGATAAAAAATTGAACTCAATTTTCCCTGGTTTTCTTTTCTCCTTTTTTCTTTTTTTCGCATTTGCGCTCTGATATTCATGTGACAATATATACTGCCGACGTTGCTAGCTCTCTACTTTTGTAGATGATGCAGCTAGTGTCGGGCCTGTACTAGCAGGCTCTTCTTTGGCTATGGTAGAAAATAATCCTTGTCCTATT